GAAGGAGAGCATAATTTACCCTGTGGATTTAGTTACTCACAGTCACCTTGGCCACAAACATTTGCCTTGGCATTCACCTTCTGAGCTAACGGGGATACTTTCCTGCTTCCCCACCCACAGACCATGATCCTGCTTCCCCCCCCCGAGGTTCCCCCTAGGTGCCCATGCCCCTGGCAGTGGGAGGAGACTTTGTATGCTCCTCCTTCGGCCCCCAGGACAATCAGGGCTTGGGGGCGGGGGAGCACGCTAAGCCTCCTCTTCCCCTGCCAGGGGTCTGGCCTGCAGAGGCCCTTTTGCCCACCTCTGCTCAAGGCATTGGAAGAGATAGGTGTTGAGGAAAGGGCTCCCACAAAAACGAACATGCTGAGTAGGGAGCATCCTACACTGCCCAACCACAGATGATGGGAAGAGGAGCATATCCTAAGCCTTGTAAATCTGAAGGAGTTACCTGAGTCGGAGCTGCTGGGAGGTGATTGTCTCACCAGAGGCCCTTTTGCCCACCTCTGCTCAAGGCATTGGAAGAGATAGGTGTTGAGGAAAGGGCTCCCACAAAAACGAACATGCTGAGTAGGGAGCATCCTACACTGCCCAACCACAGATGATGGGAAGAGGAGCATATCCTAAGCCTTGTAAATCTGAAGGAGTTACCTGAGTCGGAGCTGCTGGGAGGTGATTGTCTCACATTGGGGTCCACAGTCAGGAATGAGTCAGATGTCCAAACCGTTCCTTTTGAAAATGATGGCAATGCACATCCAAATCTACACAAAGTAGCTAAGGGTGGGAAAATGGGTGTTTTCCCAAGAGGCTTTTTAGCTCGGTGGTTAGGGAATTCAGCCAAGAAGTAGAAGAACTTACTTCAATTCCTTCCTCTGCCTGATGAGAAAGGATTTGAACATGAGTTTCATAGCTCTCAGGTGAATGCCCTAATATATGGACTATGGGATATTCTGATTGGAGAGGTGGGTCTCTCCTCTTGAAGTCATTCTGCTTTATATAAATAATATGCATTGGACCAGAGAGACAGTATGACTCTATAGTTTGGCGCTTAAGGAACTCACTTCTGAGGGTTAGGCACTTGAGAGAAAGGTACTCTTTGAGAATGCCTATTGGATTTGGCTCTGCAGGCAAGGTAGGTAGGGAAAATCTGCCTTTCAGGGTGGTGTGAGTGTCTTGCTAAACTTAAGTGTGAAGTAAGCTCTCAGTGCCTAAATGGAGGCATTGTGCACATCTCCAGCAGCATACACGTGGATTCTTAGTGGACTTTTATGTCAAAACATACAAACATCAGGTGATTTTATGAGCTTCCATAACTAGACAGTATCTGAGCAGGGGCTTTAAGAGTCTCAGTGGTGCCTAAAGGAGGAAGTTAGGAGCATAAGCCCTTTTCTGGATCTGAGCTCTTGCAAGCAAAAACAACAACAAAACCTGTAATAAACAAACACAGTTTAAACTCTTAAGGAGGAGTCCAAGCCTGAATTAAAAAAGGAATAAAGAAGAGAAAAAATTAGGTATAACATATGAAGGGACTATACAATGTAAATATCTTGGGCAGGGCAGGTGTATAATATAGAAATTAAGGTTTGAGCCTGTAAGAGCTGATAAATTATGAACACAGATGAACTCAGTTTTCCTTTTATTATCTAGTTTGCATAGTTTCATAACATGGCACTGTGCTTGCATACCCTTCAGCAATTACCTAATTAAATATACTCTGCAATTAGATTAATTAACCTGCAGGTAGCACAGTATAAAAGATAAATACAATGCTGAGTTTAAACATGTTATAAACCCCTCAGGTACCTCAATTAAATGCATTTATTATATAATCTCTGTTTTTCTTTCTAAATTATATGTTTAAAATAGAAATGGGCCTGGATCCAGACAGTCCTGAACTTTGGAGTTAACACATCTCTCAGTCCTCTATTTCATACTGTCCTCATCACTTTTGCACAAGAGAATGCTGAAAGTCTTTTATACATGAGGAACACAAACCAAAAGTGTCAGAACTGCCAGGTTAGATCTTGCTACCGACAGACTTCAGTCCTGCACCTAGAAAGAGTTCAGTGTTGTTTTCTATAGTGGGCAAATATTACTCATCAGAAGTGAGAAGACGGGGAAAACAGACTCTGGACTTGCGTTTGAGATCTTTCATTAAAATAGCAAATGTCAGGAATTCAATAGACACCTGGAAGGGGAGTTAAGAGATATGAGTTCTGATTCTGCCACTCACCTGTTCTTGGGTGCATCTGCTTGCCTCTCTGCTTCCCTTCCTTTTTAATTCAGGTTTTGGGGGCAAATGGGATTCTTTGTCCTCTACCATATCTCATGTGGATTCTCTGTACAGCTCCCCTCCACCAGCCTAAGAGTAGCTGTTATCTTTTACAGCTGGGCTTCTCGTGGGAGCCCAATCCTCTGCTGTGATATCTGAGGCCTTTCAAACATTATTTAAAAAAATGTGCCCAGTTAGGTCTACAATTAACACTGACAGTCCCCTCCCCCTTTAAAAAACCCTCCACAGACCGAGGAATGGGAGATACACTAAGGCTATGTCTACACTGGCGGGTTTGTGCGCAAGAACATCTTGCGCAAGGGTTCTTGTGCAAGAACATATCCACACTGCCATGTGCTTTTGTGCAAGAGCATCCATGGCAGTGTGGACGCTCTCTTGTGCAAGAAAGCTCTGATGGCCATTTTAGCCATAGGGCTTTCTTGTGCAAGAAACCCCTGCTGTGCGTCCACACTGCCCTTTTGTGCAAGAGCTCTTACACTTGTTAGAAAAGAGTGTAGCTCTTGTGCAAGAAGCCCTGTCTTCCGACGCTGTACTGTAAATCTTCTTGCACAAGAGCAGGTGGGCAGTGTGGATGCTCTGCGGGTTCTTGCGCAAGAGCCCACCAGTGTAGACATAGCCTAAGAGTTAATGCTATTGTAGTGCATTGGATATTTTCTCTCTAATTTCCTTTTGAATGTATGATAAACTTTTATTATGTATGAAATCTGTAACATAGCCATGATAAGATTTTAGCAATGCTTCCTTTTTGTTCTTGTCACTCTAATTTAGTTTCCAAAAATGTTCATGCATATATTTTTGGCATTGTCATGAAACTGTAAGACCATCTCCTTACCTTTGCATCGATATATTATCTTCCTACTCCAATGTCACCTTGTTTCTTTCTGTTTTGAGATTGCAATATCATAAATGTTCAATAATAGTGATGCAGGCTTAATCCATTCAGCATTCATTTTTCAAAATAAATGAAAGCTTCTTAGCACAGTTCATGGATTAATTCTTTCCACCAAATGTTATATCTAAAGTTTAATACTTTTCTTTGTAAAGCTGGCAAGAAAACATTTGAAACTGGATCAAACTGATAAATCCTTCCATCTATAATTGTTTTACTAGAATTTTGGAGGGCTTGAGGAGATTAAAATTGGGTGCAGACACACAGGTTACATGCTGATTTGAAGTCTGGCCAATTTTGAAATGACAAGAGCCTAAATCCATCTCGATTTGCTCATACAGGTGATTCCACTGAAGTGAGCAAGGAGAGTAGGATTTGATCTTCAAATACTAAAGCCTACAAATTGTGCTTTATAACAAACACACCAACTCAGCCATTCAGTATGTTGAATCTAGAACCCATTAAAGTGTTCACTGGGTTTGGGTAAATTCCCACACAAGAAAATGTTAAGCTGAAGTCAAAGTTACTTGAAAACTCTGCCCTCTAGAGACACTATGAGGGGGAAAATAGTTTAAAAAGTACTTTTGTCTAATCTGGGGCCATAAATACTAAAATGCATGAATAATTATTACATGGTTATCATGTGGTATCACTATTGGTCAGGGTTAGTGTTGTTTAGGTGCCTGGATTGTGTATTTCTGTATCTTGGCATGTTCAGTTTTCTTTTAACCACAACTTTGATTTTCATGGTTGTGTAATGCTTGTTTTTAAGATAATTACAATGTTGGGGTTTTTTTTTTAGCTCTGATATACTGTTGTTATTCCTAGGGAAATTCTGCACAAGTGCACAAGTGCAGAATTTGCACAGAATTAACATTCTGTGCAGAATTTCTTTTTCCCTGCAGAATTGGTGCTTCAGTGCTGCTGGCTACCATTGGGACTGCTGGACCCAGAAGGGCCCAATTTTCCAGCTTACAATACAAGATACTGCCAAGGGGAAAGAGAGAGATGGAGGGTTCCAGACTGCTGTGGTTCCCAATATGACCTGAAGGAAGGCGGTGGTATTCAGGAAACTTTGCACAATCCTAAGATCCAGCATCAGACTGTCTCTCTCTCTCTGGGGGTGGGGGGAGAAGGTTAGGGTGTCTAAGCGGGGTGGGTTGCCCCAAGGCTAGGCTCTGGGAATGAGAGAGTGCAGGTACCCTGTGGCTGAGCTCTCGGGGCGAGGAGTATATTATGTATACACTTTCTTTTTTTTACTTCTGGGACTTTCATATGAAGTTTCTAAATTATTTTTTTAAACTTTCAGTATATTAGATCTACATGTGTTATCAACAACTATAGCTAAATATTATAACCTGCTGGTTATTTTTTTAAATTATGGCCCTGTCATCATGGATCCCAAATGTAATTTTTTTTTATTTAGGCAAAGTTACAGTAAAATGTTAACATACTACAAGTTGTAGATTGTTTCTAAATGAAAGAAACATTAAAGACATTCTAAAATAATTTAATACTATTGTTACTTTCCTGCTTTTTTGCTATTTCAGCACTACCATCCAAAGCTTCTATTGCTGCAAGCAGAAGTGTTCTGTGCAGGCCTGGAGTAGGCCTTAGAAGGGGGTACATTCAGATAGCAGAACAAAATGAAAGTATTTCCAATTCAAACTATACATGCACTTTTATTGTTTTGTTTCACTTTGCAAATATGGCTGAATGTTCAGAAACCATTATTTATAGTCCATCTCTAAGAAAGTCAGTTTGTTTTTGTTTTCCATTCATTATTTATAATATTTGTTTGTTGTTTTTGTCATTTTGTAGAGCTTCCGCAAGCAGCTGTCAGGATCTTAAGCAACATGACATTCCTTTTTGTGAGTTTGTCATACACAGCTGAGAGTGCCATTGTTACTGCTTTTATTACCTTCATTCCCAAGTTCATCGAGTCACAGTTTGGCATCCCAGCTTCCAATGCCAGCATCTACACTGGTAAGGCATTGCCATCAGCACCACATTGAGGGATCATGTGATGATTACCTGTTGTGTTCCCTCCCTCTGGAGCATCTGGTATTGGCTGCTGTGGGAAGACAGGATACCTTTGGTCTGACCCAGTATGGCCATTCTTATGTTCTTATGTAAAGGTTTATTATTCTCTGACTGCTAAAACAAAAGCAACAGAGGAAAAAAACCTGGCTTTCAAGTGATAATCTTACCAGCTAAATGATGTATAACTTTACTTTTTCTGATAGGAATTCCAGAAGTTCCTTGGGTGTCAGTTAAATGTGTTTAATAAAACATCAACCAAATATTATTGTTTTGTACAAGTGAAGAATTTGCCATTTTTAAGGTTATATTAAAGTTTTTTTGGGAGGGGAAAAAATAAGGGGCAATATTATCACACTCATAGATTTATAGACCTTAACGTCAGAAAGGACCACCATAATCATGTGCAAGTTGCAAAGAATCTGTCATTAGTTTAAAAGATCTCATAGTTTATTCTTATATTATTTATTATTAACATCTTAAAAGCTAAATTTACTTTATGCTCCTTAATCTTTACAATATTGCTTCCTTCCTTTCTTTCCAGTGACCATTCATGCCCTATGTATTCACCTTCCACCTTGACTATTGCAATCTTCTCCTTATTTATTTATTTATTTATTTATAACAGCCTTTCCACAGTCCCGCCCACCCACAATGTTACTACCAGAATCTTCTCTCTCATCACTTAAATTATGTACCTCTCTTTTTGGAGAGATTTCACCAGTTCACCATTGCAATGTGCATCCAGCTCAAACTTTTGTTCCTGTTTTAAAAGTCCTACTTTATACAGCCTGATTGGTAATTTGTTCCACGGAGAGTAGACTTTCATGCACTGGGGCTGTGTGTAGGTGTAGCAGGCCTCCTGTACAGAATAATTTACAGAACTGGGTTGCATTAGGTTGGCCCTGTTCTCCCTACTCTGCTGATAAAAGCAGTCTTGCTACTCCTCTTAGGCTATGTCTAGACTGCAGGCTTCTTTCGAAAGAGGCTATTTCGAAAGCATCTTTCGAAAGAGCCTCTTTCGAAAGATCGCGTCTAGACTGCAGGCGGATCTTTCGAAAGAGAAATCCGCTTTTTCGAAAGAGAGCACCCAGCGAGTCTGGATGCTCTCTTTCGAAGACGGCCTCTTTACATTGAAGAACGCCTTCTTTCGAAAGAGGAACTTTCGAAAGAAGGCGTTCTTCCTCGTAAATTGAGGTTTACCGCCATCGAAAGAAAAGCCGCGTTCTTTCGAAATAATTTCGAAAGAACGCGGCTTGAGTCTGGACGCAGGGGAAGTTTTTTCGGGAAAAGGCTACTTTTCCCGAAAAAACCCCTGAGTCTGGACACGGCCTTATTTACTTCTCTTAGAAACATCTTTGTGCTTTCGTCTGGGCTACGTTCTGCATTCCCATGCATGGAATGCCCTCCACAAACCTGTTCACCAACCCAGCTCTCTCCTCTTCTTCTTCAAATCCCTCCTAAAACTCATGTCTTCTGCATCGCCTCTCAGAACTGAGGGAAAGAAATACAACATTAAAAACATACGAAGTTATCAGGACATGTACATACCTCCCCAAGTAACAGGCCTCTTACATATCTCTGTGTGTAACAAAGCCCCTGGTTGAACTCATCTGTGGAACTGAACCTGGAGACGCTGGCTCTAAATGCATGATCCTCCACTGCAGAGATGGGAAACATTACTTGGGTCAGGGACCGATGAATTACAGAAAAAGCAGTCGGGGGCTGCACACTAGTGAGAAACAAACAAACAAACCCTCAGGCTATGTCTACACTACAAAGTTTTTTCAGAAAAATGGCTGGTTTTCTTAAAAAAACTTCACTTATGTGCACACTGCAATCGCGTTCTTTAGAAAAAAAAATCAAAAGAACAGAGGGTTTTTTCTGACATCGGTAAACCTCTTTCTATGAAAGAGAAGATAGGGAAGAGGGAGTTCTTTTGAAAGAAGAGGAAGAGGAAAAAGCACAGGTGCCCTAGTGGCCACTCCGTTCATAGCAATCACAGCTTAAATGTGAGATAGTGTCCGTTCAGTGTGGGTGCTATTTTTTGGAAAAGCAGATTGCTTTTTCAGTGCGCTTTGGCAGTGTGGGCACTCTTTCAGAAGAAGTTTTTTCAAAAGATCTCTTCTGGAAAAACTTCTTCAGAAAGAAGCCTGAAGTCTAGACAGAGCCTCACTGATGTGGCCTCCAACTGAGAAGGAGAAAGACACTCCCCATGTTCCCCTCGCACACCAGAGGCTAGGGAGCCCCAGGCTAGTAGATTTTGTGTGCGCCATCCCTGCGGTGGGGCGACGGAGGGGCTGCAGCACCAGCATGGCTCCCCAATGCTGGAGGAGGAGACCTGAACCTTGGGAGCCGGATCCAGGCAACCGGGGGCCACATCCAGCCCCTTCTGTTTCTCACCCCTGCTCTACTGCTTCAGAGAAAAGGTCTGATCTGGTAACACACTTATAAACCTCTTATTTTATTCAGCCACCAGAGAGTGACAAAGGTCCACTATGCTGGTATAATATTCATCCTTTCTCCCCTGTTTTGGTTGGTAATTAACCCTGCCTTCTTTGACACACCATTATTAAAATGTCAGCCTTCCAGGACAGGGACCACATCTTTGAAAGGCATCCACCACTATTTTTGATACTCAGAAATAATGAAAAAAACAACAAATGGTCTGGTAGCACTTTATAGACTAACAAAACACATAGATGGTATCATGAGCTTTCGTGGGCACAGCCCATTTCTGCCTACAAAAGCTGATGATACCATCTATGTGTTTTGTTAGTCTATAAAGTGCTACCAGACCATTTGGTTTTTTTTTCCCTGTAACAGAGTAACTCGGTGGTATCCCCTGAAGCTCCAAAAATAATGAAGAAATAATAACAGAAGAAGCAATAATAAACCCAGATCTTTCCCTGTATGGCCTATTGTGAATTTCTTCCAATATGCACTAGTTTTAGAAGGAAAACCTTTCCAGCTTTTCCCTTTCAGTATCTTTTCATTTCTGTAATCAGAAAAACTAATTCACTTAAAGGTAATTAATGTTCGTATTTTTTTTCAGGTTCTGACACAGTTCCAGTGTATCTCTTTCAGTGCAACATACATACACATTTCATAGTTCCTGAGATTCACAATGACTCTGAAACTCATAGTCACGAATTATTATTGAAGCAAGGAGTTTAGCAAGATTTTTTTAAAAGGATGAAAATGGGAGGGACATAAATACCCAGGCTTCAGAACAGGTCAACTATTAACTTGAGAATGATAGGAAGAATCTTCCTTAGAGGCAAGCTACTCAATAATTGCCAATTTCAAGTTGTTTTTTTTTAAATCTGTCTTTGAAGCCCATGTTATTTGCCACTGAACTAGAAGGACTGTTCATCTGATCTGGTGTGGCAGTTCTTATGTTAGTAGAAAGCAATATGACAAAAAAAATCCCTGCCATTATTTAAATACTTCTAACTTCAAGATAAATTATCTCCTTGCCTCCCCCCCACTATACCCCTGTGGGTGAGTGAAGTACCAGTGGACTGACCATGCATTGTCACTCCAGTAGACGAGGGAGAGCTATAGGAGGAGAGAAAGCTATCTGGCTGCATGGATCCAGGAAAGGAAAGAAAATCTGAGTGGGAATCTTGGGTGTTTATCTAGTCTGGGATCCTGATAGACACAGTGGGAAGTAGCAGCAGTGGGAGTTCTCTGTAGAAGCCGGTGGAAAAGGGAGAGGCATCCTGCTCAGGGCATTAATTATATCTAATACATATGCTTGCAGTGATATAATACTGATTCCAGGATATGAGAGACAGAAGAGAGATGAGATAATACTTTTTTTATTGGACACTCCGTGGGTCAAAGGGACAAACTTTTGAGCTTCATAGAGCTCTTCTTCAGGTCTCCTGAACAAACACTTGGTTACCTGGTGAAAAGCTCTGTGTAGCTTTTGAAAACTTGTCCGTTCCACCAACAGAAATTGGTCCAATGAAAGATATTACTGACTTCATCTCTCATGAAAAATGTAATGGCAGATATGATTTTGGGGTATCTATTTCCTGCTGGTGGTTCTAGTGGTTACACAAACCACTAGAGAGTTTTGCTTTCATGGTTTATGGCATAGCTGGGAATCTTGATGGAATTATTGCTACATAACTCATTTTAGAGGCTGTATACACATAAGAATGAGTACCAATAGAACAGTCATGTCAGACAAAGTATGCAGAGTTTGGGAAATTCCAAAAAATTAGGACTCTATTGAGCCTTTGCTGGGTCCCGAGTATGCAACAGTGTATAGCTACACTGCCCCAGAGAAGATGCTTAGGGAGTAATTGTGATGCTCAGATATTCACAATTCCTCACTTACTGCTATGCCAAGTAAGTAATTTTCTTTAGCTATTTAATAACATTTAATTGTTCTAGATTTCTTTTGAATGTAAAAAGAAAAAAGAAGATCTGGTGGTAGCCTGTGTACACTCTTATACCAGTGGTGCTTGTAAATTACTCGTACCATGAGTTCACAAGCTCTTCTAGCTTTAGCAGTAGTATAATTTGTAAATCATTTGAACCGAAATATCTATATTTCATCTGTGCACTTAGTTAGCTGTACACATATGTTCAGTGCATCTATGTTTGTGTGGCCAGCTGGAGATGTAAATAAGATTTTGCACAGTGCATTTTTTAATTGACAATTACAAACAGCCATTTTTGTTAAATTTCATTGTTTCTTTTCTTAAACAAAGCAAAGGCATTAGCCTTCAGCGAGGATTAAATCCATGCCAGATTTCAAGTTTTGAACTTGAGTTTCCTTTACTGTAGTCTTTTATTTAAAAAAATCTAAACGATTAGAATTTTTTAAACAGGAAAAATGTATTTTTTCCACCCACAGTGAACTAATAAAAAAACAAACAAACAAAAAAGAAAAAATCACACTTTAAGCTCTTAAACTTTCTAAAATCAAA